TTTTTAATGAAATCAACACAAAATATAATTACAATTAAAAACAAGCACTGCACCACACACTCGACGTGCATTGTTGTTTGTTTGTTTTCTATCATTTTATTTTCGTTATTACATTGCACTTTTTTTCCACCTCTCCCTCTCTCTCTCTCTCTCTCTCTCAATTGTAATTAAATTGCAGCTATGTGTGTGAAGCACCGCCAGCGCATGTTGCCTACTTTTATGCGCAATTTATTTAAATCCAATTATGTAGAAGTAAAAGAGGGAGAGCGAAAGGGAGTGCGAGAGGGACAGGGGCATGTCAATGCAGTTGTTGTCGGGCATTAAAGCACGTCCAGCTTACATATGTATGTACATGCGAGTATATAGTGGATGTGCCCATTCACAGTCGGGCATACATTGGACAAATTTAATGCATATCTATTTGATTTTACGCTTAATAGACTTATTTAATATTATTTTCATTGCCAATTTTATGTACGTATTGAGCTGCCAGAACGGGAATATGATATACCCTATATATGTATATAGCTATATTTATAAACAACTGTTCTGGACCAAAATTTCAGATTCGATTCGGTTTTTTTTAGATCGTCTTTTTGGTAATTTCAGCCAATCAATGACATCTAATAGGAACGAGTTTTTTTTTTGGTCTTTTTTTCATCGATATTCCATATAATAGTAATTCATTTCATAAACTTAGAAACGTTTTCGAAAGAGATACGTCGAGAAACTTAAATAATTTAACATAGGACACCAAACTTAGTATGTAGAATTATCTCATCGATTATCAGAGCAAGTCTTTTACAAACCATATATAACCTCATTATTTTATATAGCTGTCATAGGATCGGCCGGTTTTTAATGCCTCTCCAAAAACTAAAGCGCCATCAAATTCGATTTTTTTTTTTCTGTTTAATCAAAGCAATGAAGCCGTGCATTCAGATTAGCACCTTAACAATACATTTTTACAAATATAAAATAGCCCAACCTCAAGCACTTACGCGCGAGGATTAATAATCAAATTCGATTAAAGTTATGTTTATTTTAGTTGATTGGCTGTAGCGCCGAAAACGGAAGGTACGGTAAGGTAATGTTCTATTCGATTTTTATATACTCCATATATATGTTATTTTAATAGTTATATAATAGTTAAAACAAGATAAATATAGTCGATTGATTGATATAAGAGCATTTCTTATTAAAACTCTTCTGTCTCTATCGACTTTCTTAGATGGACAAAAGTGTATAACTAAGTCGACTGAGCTCGCTATGCCTGCACCGACATGTCCACCTTGATGATTGCATATCCGATTCCACCGCCAATACGCCCTTTCAGGCCTTCGATGATGAATATAAAATTGAGTTGACGGCATTAAAAGTTATTTTGATACAATTGCTATGTGTTGTAATTTGTATTTTGATATGAAAATTGTAATTATAGTTTCCATGTAACACTTAAGCGGCTTTAATTACGATCAAAAACCAATAAAGTTTTTCATAATTAAACAAATAAATGTATTTTTAATGCATTTTCTCTTCAATTGTCAAATAGTATGTGCCATTTAAAGGACATTTACCACGACATTTAATGCAGATTCAGATTTGAAGTCTGACAAGAAATTATCTCTTCTGTCAAAATGATTAAGAAGGCATATTTATCAATGGCAGAACAGGCCAGAAAAGTTGACTGCATTTTTAGTAGATATTGTAGATAAAGGAAGCGCGTGCTCGATATTTGGATCTGCTCCCAAATATGTCTCACTTATAACTCCCCATTCACCTCAATTGCTTGCAGGCACTCCTCAGAAGAAAGCATTTGCCGATAAAAGTAATAGCAGATACTGATGGATATCCCTGTTGAAAGTATTATAAGTTCTAAAGGAGACTAGAAAAAAGGGTGGTTACTATTGTCTACCTATAAGCAAACATTATTAATTTCGAACAACAATTAAACTATCAATCGGCAAAGCTAGCGATCCAACCAACCTGCTCCTTCTATGCCTCGTTCTATTGATTGAATCAATGGAATGCTGACAATCTCCACTTCAATCATTTTCAATCTGGCATGATTAGCTGTAAGTGCTTGTCCTTGTCCTTGCCTTTCTTCATCTATGTCCATCTATCTGTTTGCCTTGTCCACAGATCGAAATTAACCAGCCTTGACTTGACATAAAGGCCGTGTCTGTCGCAATTCTTTGGCCAACGACAACAACAACAACAACAACAGTAAGGGGCAGCCTTAAGCTTTAAATAAACTGTACGCTTCTTAATTGCTGGGCAACTCAAAATTAATATATATATATATATATATATATATAGTATAGTATGTAGGTATGTGTGGAAGGGAAAAACTGTGTATTCATTAATTGTATGCACTTTGAATAATTACGAGGCGTTGTGAGCTGTAAAAACAGTGAAAAAATTGTAAACTGTGTCAGCATTCTGCTCAATGCCAAGTGAAAATGAGTAAGTAAGTGACTGGGCGGCGGAAAATGGAAAATTGAAAACGAGAAATATACAAACATATACCCATACTATACGACTATAAGTCGAAGAAGGAAAGCCAACTAGCGAGCCAAGCCAAACCAAACCACAATGGAAAATGTGGCACATAGCTAGAATTGGCAGCATTATGACTAAGTGGTTGCCCGAGTTGCCTCAGTAACGCCAACTAATTGGACAGACTATGATAAAGAAGAAGAAGAAGAAGCAGCAGCAGTAGCAGTAGCAGTAGCAACGGCATTAGAAGCAAAGAAGGGGTTAAGGAGTGACGAAGAAGGCACAACGCTTCGACCAGACACGTCAACGCCAACTAAGTGTGAAAATGAGCGTCCAAGTGGGTGGATTGTTAGATTGCTGAATTGCTGGATTGCTGACTGATGGCTTGCCTTCAATTTTACTCGATTGGCCAGCACTGACCGTCGCCGGTTTGGGCACGCGACGCAATTTACTCGACCATATAGCATTCGCCGCAACAATCACAACATTAACAGCAGCAACAACAATATGCATTACCAATATTTTTTATTTTGCGGCTTACTATAACTGGCTGCTTTGGCGGCCAACGCTAATTTGCATACGAAGATTGCCGGCGTGCAACTTTCTAACACGAAATTTATGCTGATTAGGGAAACGCTCGACTGCGCCTCCCTCTGCCTCTGCCTCTGTCCCTGCCTGCGTGTCCCTCTGTCCGTCTGTCTGTTTGACTGTTGCCTTTCATCAAAGGTATGCCAAATCAAATTTTTATTTCAATTGGCGGCGGCTCATGAATTTTTGACACACACCCGCCGCTTCCACACACGTCCGCATTAGAGCTGCTGCTTGCTGCTCGGTTTAATATCAATTTGGTCTGCCGCCTAAAAGCGGGCTGCAAAAAAATAGAGCAAGAGAGAGAGAGACAGAGTCAACAACTGGGCGGCATAGCCGAATTAGGATAACCTATCCCCAGCAATAGCATTAGTTCTGTAGCTCCAAAATAGACAGTTTTTAATGAGTCAGTTGCAATGAGTTTTATTTTAAGCAGAAACTTATGGCAAAATATCATTTAAAAAGAAACTGTAAATTGTTTGATAAACTCACCAACAAACGTAAAAATGGGCTTCGAATTCGATCAAATTATGTGGAATCGAGAATTGGAAACATCTTTTATAGAATCTACTATTTCATTAGGCTTCTACTAGCCATTTCTAGATTCTATAAAACAATATAAAATATGAATATGTACATTTATTAAAATATTAAATATTATATTAATATTAAAATATGAATACATTTATTTGTTTCATCGAGGTTGTCGCAAAGTTTTCGTGGTAAAAAAAAAAACAATACAATAGAAAACTTAAACTAAATACAACTAAAGAATAAAAAAGTCCAAAGAAATTACAAAAATCGGTTAATTCAGTTTAAATTTCATTAAAACATTTGGCATAATACATATATAAGGAGAAACAAACAGGTATCCTTGTTTTTAATATCAATTAACCTAGATAGCTCTTGTGTTAAGTTGAAAATTCTACCTATAAGTTCGTTTTCAAAATCAAAATAGGTAATTATAGACCGGTTCATATTGTGGGTCATTAACTTTAAACACGAAATCGTTGGAAACCCACTTGAGATGTCAAACTCAGGTAGGAAAAGTATTTTAAAATATTAAATACAGGACGACAAGAGATAATATAATTTGTTTTTATTTTTTATTATTATAAATTGGAATTTTTTAATTTTTATGCAGACGCGTGTGTGTGCTTGCTTACATTATCTTGCATCTAAAACATAGCTGGAATAATGCATTATACTGTCGTCATAAATACTTATAATCCAGAATGTTCAGTGTTACCAGCATTTTAAAGACATTACCACTTTCATAAATCAAATGACACTGATTATTGTATAAATATAGTAAGAATTAGAATAGATTTGAAATTATTTATTTACAAGTATTTCATATGTTGGATAAGAGTGATAACCTTTATACAGGGTGCGCCATCTTTTATGTCGGTATGTAAATATTGAATAACTTTGTCATTAGTGAACCGATTGACTTGAGTAGACCAGTGTTGAAAACCTCAGTTCAAGAAATTGTACAGAACCAAATTTAAAAAAAATATCTCATACTTGAAAATCGGTTGTTTATTTTCAAAGATATTCAATGTTTACATACCGACATAAAAGATGGCGCACCCTGTACTTATAGCGCGATATTCCGAGATATCAAACGTATGTTCAGGCAAAACGTAGCATCTCTTATCTCTTATATTCCCGCAGATTAAGACGTTCATACGCACAAACAGACAGAGAGAAGATGGTATGTTACCTACGATTTTACAAAGCGTATATGCCCCTCTCTATGTTTAAATTGGGAGCATCAGAGAAGCAAAAAGTATGTTGCGTGGGCTATCAAAATGTTTATGCCCGGCACGTAGCCGGCGGCACGTCTTTGATGTCTTAAGCTATGAATGGGGATTTTTTTTTGTGTTTTTTTGTAATGCTTGGTCACTTACCCTTCAGCAAGTGCTGCAAGATGTTGTCCTTATGCTCCTCAGAGTGCGGCTCGCCAAGCACAATCAGCAGATAGCAGCCGGTCAGTGGACTGGGCGGTCCAACCATGCCACCAGCTAGACTCGAGGGGCCACCACCATCCGAACAGGCCGTGTCCAGTGGTGCACGCCCGCCAATTTCCGATGGCGGCAACGAGCTGGCACCCGCATCGGTGGCCGCATCATCGCCTGCATCCTGACCAGCATTGCCACTACCATTGCCTGTAGCGACGCCAGCAGCATCGGCAGCAGCATCCACTGCTGCTGCTTCAACTGGAGCGTCGCCGTTGGCAATGCCATTGGTGGCACCACTGACGGTAGCGGCGGCAGCGCCGGCAGCGCCACCGACGGCGGTTGCAGCAATGACCGTGTCCGTGGCCGTGGATGAAGGACCACCGTCTCCATTGCCATTGCCTTTACCGTTACCATTGCCATTACCGTTGCCATTGGCCGTGCCATTGGACTCTTGAGTCGCTGCCATGGCACCTGAAGTGGTGGCTGAGGCGTTGCCTTCACTGCTCGTTGTTGTAGTAGTAGTTGTTGTTATAGTTGTTGCTTTTGGCTGATCTCCCATCACAGTTGTTGGCGTTGGTGTTGCTGCTGCTGCTGCTGCTGCTTTGGCTGCTGCTGCTGCTTTGGCTGCTGCTGCTACCGTTCTTGTAGATTTCTCTTTTCTTTTTTGTTGTTTTTTTTTGTTTTGTTTGTCACAATCACAAGTTGGTTGGAGGAAAAAAAATTGATTTGCCGTTACACTTGAAAAAAAGTAACTGTTTTTCTTGGCTTGCCTTTGCGCTTTCGCTATTTTTGTAGAGTTTTAGAAACTCTACACAAACTCAGTGGATCGCACTCTCTCTCGCTCTCGCTCTCTCTCACTCTCACTATGCACTTCTCCTGACGCTTAGCTGGCGCAAATTTCTTGGAAATTCGCGTAGAAACGTCTACTCAGTCTTTTCTTCTATCGCTGCTTCTGCTTCTGCTTCTTCTACTACTGCTGCTGATGCTGTTGTTGCTGCTTGCGTCACTGTTGCGTCGCTGCTGCCGCAGTTTTTGCTTGCAACCTCTCAGTTGCTGCGTTGCTGCTTCACAACACACGCGTTGCAGTTGTTCTTGTTCTTGCAGTTGTTGTTGTACTTTTTGTTAATTTGCCGCAAATTTGCCGCCGTTGTTAAATTTTTTTCATCTGTCTCTCAAATTGTTTGTTTTTGTTCGCATTAATTTATAATTGTTTAATTAAATATTTTTGTTTTGTTTGTGGTTGGTTGTTTTTTTGTTTTGTTGTTGTCTTTTGTTGTTGTTGTGCACACTTTGAAGCTGTGGTAATAGGTTTTCTGTTCTTATTAAAATTTAAATTATTTATTTTAATTTTTGCTGAAAGGTTTTTATGCGTTTTGCGCTGTGTTTTTGTTTTCGAGAAAATTTTGCGGCAATTGGCGTGTGTTTTAATTTATTTGTCTTTTGTTTTGCTTTTTTTATAATATATAATTATTTATTAAATATATGTAGATATATTTTTTTTTAGTTTGCTGTAGACTTGGACTAGCTTTTACTTTTAGCGATGTTTTGTGGGTGTCTTTTGGTTTTGTTTTCTTTTGTTTTTTCTTTTAATTTATGCTTTAGCTGTAATTAGTTTAATAATAATTGTCTTTGTTTTTCTTTCTTTGTCTAAATTTCAGAAAATGTCTTTGGTTTTTCGTATGAGTTGCGTCTGATTTTTATTTAGTTTTTTTTTCCTTTTAATGTTTTTGTGACTCGTTTAGATTATATCTTTGGAAATGGTTTTATAAATCTCAAGATCTGCAAAGGAAAAGAAGTTAAAAAGAGCAATATTAGCGTTAATTTTTAAAGAGTGATTCGGGGATTTTTAAAAAGAATATAAAAAATTTTATTATAATTTGATATTCTTTATGAAACAAAATAACAGACTTATTTGGGAGTAGTAACAAAATTTTATCATTAAAATCTTTAAAAATCTTTTGGATCTTTAAGGCTAACTTTTAAACAATTACCCGACCCTATTGCATCCTATTTTAATGAAACTTCAGGAACTTCCAGATTTTTTCTGATGTCTCCATAAACAAATAAAGCTATTGTACTAAGAGAGATTTGTACACCAATCGATGCTTTGGCAGTTTCATAAAAAATTATGCTATATATGGTTTTAAAAAACTGTTTTTACATATCGATAAGACAACTATATTTAAGTCGCTTATCCAATACACGAAACACCACAGATTACGAATATCTTGAAGTGATTTTTGGTGATTGCCAAATTATATCGTTTAAGCTATTCTGTGAAGATCTCTTAGCTGAGGCAATGCAAATCCAATAAGTTAAGGAACATTTCCATAAAATAAAGTGACTATATCTAGGGTTAGTGTACAAACTCTGAAGTGGCATTTGTCAACGAATTGCTAAACTCTCTTTTGATAGTTTGACGGGATCATCCAGGGCGACCACGTCATAGAAATGGCTTCCATTTGGAACCGATCCTTGTTAGCTCACCCACTCATCAAGCGTTGTTTCGTCGTTTCCCGACAAACCTGGCAGCCCTAGCAGCCCTAGCCGCCCTTTTACAGCTGCAAAGTCGTGAGCTATAAAAAGGCCGTCTCTGCCGAGACAGACGCGTATATAAATGCATTGAACTTTGCCCGTTGCTGAAATAGAACAACAACAAATTGCACACTCCGCACACACACATACATACAGATACAATCGTACACCCGGCCCTACAACGCCCCAAGAAGATGTCGTCATCGCGGCAGGGCGAGTACCATGGCAACAACAACAATAACACCAACAACCGAGTCTACATCCATGGCGACAGCAACGACGCCGACACCGACGCTGACGCCGATGACGATGACGACGTCATCATCAGGCCCAGACCTAGGAACAGGCCCGGCGCGGCCCGGCCCAGGCCCAACGTCGTCGCCGCTTGCATGCAGAAACTATAAAAAGCAGCGCACAACTCCTTTGATACATATGTACATACATACATATATATTGTTTTATTTTTTCCTTTCATTTTTTTTGTCGCCCTTTTTGTAGTAATCCTTCAATGTGCCCGACTCTTGTGGTTGCTGCTTTGCTGCATTGAGCGACGTGGTCGCGTGCCCAAGTCTTTATACCCGTTCCCATCCCCATCCCCCCTGTACGGCCCCAATGCCCTCCCCTGTAGTTCTAGCCCATGCCATGCCCATGCCTTGGGGGTTCACTGCATGGTGGCAGTTTCTTTTGTCCCTTTTTTGCCGGCCCGATGATTCACCATAACTTTATATGCAACCATATACGCGGCCATATCTAGATAACTACATACAAGTATATAAATAAGTATGTACATACTTATAAGTATTTGTACAGTTGCAACTGGAATTGCGCGAATTAGACAATTAAAAAACAATTATGGAAATTGACTCGAATTGAAAAAGTCTATTTAAGCAATGAGAGAGTCAGATTAAAGTTGTCATGGTCAGACATGCAAATAATTTGTACACTAATTTGTCGAACATCATTAAAATGTTATTTCCATAAAGACCAATAGGATTTGCATGCATAAATGCAGTTTTCTAACAGATAAAAATACTTTCGCATTTACTTTTCATAGGCTATTTGAAAATAGCATAAATTGTGGAAAAATTATTTGCATGTGTGACCACCACACCTTCGTGATTACTCAGCTATGATTTCGTAGCTTCCGCTTTATTGTCTGCTCCCATTTCTTTTTCCGCTTGTAGCCAAATGCCTGGTGAATTTCTTAGGAATTATCCTTAGGTAAATATCTAATTACTTGGCCTATGTACCAGTAGCTAGTGCATGTGAAATAAAGAAAACCCCACATGCAGCTCCAATTGCTTCTACCAATATTAACCTCTTCATATGGTTTAAAATAAGTCATCTATTTACCTCACTAAAGAGTCAAAATGTTCCAAGCCAATAGAATAAGCACCTGACGAGCCTAAAAAAAAACCATTTGAATGAAGTACTTCTTGATAATGGGAAAAATGAACGCTAGATTTCAGAGTAGATATTAAACGAGCTCATTTATTCGAAGTCCCACTGTACTATATCCTATATGGATAACTGCAGTTGACAGATGAATGTCGGCAGTGCCGCCAAACTGCATTTTCAACCGCCGTGGCCTGCGTTTAACCAACAACAACAGCCACAACAAAAAACCGAACCAAAAAAGAAATATAGAATGCGGAAAAAGGGAAAATCTTAATCAAATTTACATCCTCCAGCACTCGCTATATCTTCTGGGTCTCTGTTTCCGTCGCCATCGCCGTCTCTGCCTTCGGCATCGGCCTCAGGCTCGGTGTCGTTGTCGGTGTCGGTGCGTGATTTTGATTGATGAGTTTTGCTATTTTTGGGAGGCGCATGTAGCGCCGACGGCAGCCATGGAGCCAACAACTACAACCACTGCAACAACAAAGTGCAAAACACAAAACACGAAGTAATCATAAATAGCAAGTGCGTGTGCACACACATTTGAACGTGTTTGCATATGTAATGGGCGTTAGTTTCTTTTTCATTGCTGCCGCAGCTGTTGCGTACTTTTAAAGTCAAGAGCACTTCGAGGACTCGAGGACTGTCTTATGAATTGCATTTTGCTTGTTTGAGAAGCATTTAGAAGCCGTTTAGTTTGTTTGTATTACAATTTTCTTAACAGGATTTTCGCAGCCCATGATGATGGAGGCCAACAAACATCAGTCGCCAAACATCAGTCATCCGACACGTTGGTTATGCTTGGATAACACAACTATTCAGTTTTGGAAATAGTCCAGTTTAAGACATGTAACTCTATTTTTGCTCATCTTCTCACACGAGTATATGGTCTATGAGGGTCACCAAACATCACGCGTCAAACAGCAGTCTTTTGAATCGAATTTTATGTGTGGCCAAATGTTTCATTTGAGAAGCATTTTAGAGGAATTCTTAATTTCTCTTTACGAGACTTGTAACTTTTTATTCCGATATTTTCCCATAGAGATGATGGGAGTCCCCAAATATTAATCGTCAAACAGCAATCTTTTGAATAGAATTGTGTGTGTGTGGGTGGATGCACAAATGTTTCGTTTTGGAAGC